GTCTAACTGTCGGTCGATAACTGTCAAGGTTTGTTGTACATTAATTGATTTATTGATATTTTGCTATACAGTACAGCACATTTTGTCGGGATCACTTTCGTTTTGAATTCGGATCCATTCTTCGGTGCTCGTTGCTCGACTTATCGATTTTGTCGCATACACCCTGTTTGAACGAAGCTTGGCAAATAGGTTTTTCACCGTTGAACCAGGAAACACACGGCGGGGACATAGTAAGAAAATTTTCAAGCTCACAGTGCACACATTCATTAGAAAATTTTTTCGCATTGCGTGGTATAACCTTCTTCCAACGGTTATTCACGCTCCTTCTAGAACCCAGTTTAAAGCCCTATTAGACACTTATTTATGCGAATCCTCGCGCTGGCGAGTACACTGACCCATGCTGAGAACATAGGGAGCGATGTTACACCCTTTTCTCACTTCTGCCTTTCAGGTGAACGACAGCCACTGACCGACAAGAACAAAGGCGACCCGAAGATCTTGGGCAATAGCCTCGATCCCGTGTATCAATCCGTGAATCCGTGAATGGTTGCTCATTATTCGCAGAATGCGTTATTGTACCAGAGGAGCCGCGAAGACTTGTTTTGAAACAGTTTCATGAAGGACATCATGATATCAACCGGGTGAACTCATTGATCCGAAGCTACGTTTATTGTCCTCATATCGACATCCAAATAAAAACGCCCGTCAAATCTTGCTACAAATGTGTGTTGGCTTCAAGTTCCCTGGGAAATGTGGATCTCGTTCTGGCTGGCACCATCAAGTGCATAGTCAAGGATACATGTGGGTTATGCAGTTCCCGCGAACGGCCGTGGACGCCCACAAGTAGCCAGGGATTTCTCCCACGAAGATAATGACGACGAAAGCAACAATCAACAATTTTCAGGAAGTCTTTAGTCGTTTCGGCTATCGCAAAAGGCTCCTACCCGACAACGGGACACAGTTCGCGTCGTCCCGTTTCGTGGACCTCTGTGCTGCCAGTTGGATTGAACACGTTAGAATGCCTCAATATCACGGAACGACTCGTGGATACTTCCTAAACGGTTCTGTTTAAGGTGAAATGGAAGCAAATCACGGTGAACATCCTACATGAGTTCCTCCTAATTTAACGCGTGACTCCTAATCTGTCCACACCGGAGGGCAAATCTCCCCCAGAGACACTAATTTACCACACTCCTTGAAGTACCTTTGATCTACTAAAGCCCACACAGGAGGTGGCATCATCGAATCAGAGTATGGAGCCCTGCCATATTCGCAAGCGTGGTGCAAAGTGGCGGCATTTCGACAACGGACAGAGCGTGTTAGCAAAGAACTATCGTGGTAACCCCGCAGCCTTGCTTCGGGGCAAAATCAGCTAATCGGCGAATCAGAAATGTCACCAGTTATGTTCGTGTGGGTTTCAGAACATGGGTTCCTCGTGCAAATCAGTTAAAAGAAGCTTATTCACAACCCACTCGGAGATTGAATGTGTTGTCTCCGAACATTTTGACAGACCTGAACATGAACGGAAGAAAGACAACCGACACTCAGGTTGCGTGGCAGCTACCAGAAGCGCCTGTATAAAACAATCAGGAAGGACGACACGCAGAAGTAAACCAGTGATAAAGATACGGGTTAACCTTAGACAGAAGACCTATACGACTCAATTTTAAAGGACAGATATTGAAAGAACCAGCTCCAAATGTAACGGGACTACATAATTGCCAATGGAATAACCGTTTTTCGTTGAGAAACTCCATTTATTGTTCTCCACTCATCCTTGATTAATAATGATTACAATAATAATATTCACTCCCAATTAGGGGGTAGCGTACCATCCGACATGATCACAGTATTACAGTCAGAATAAGAGCACGACTGATGGGGGTTGTGATTAATGGGATTTTTCATGGAAAAAGGACGGTGACGTGAACAATGGGCATTAACGAAGTAGACTTCACCATACCTGAGGTGGCATGGGTAGGGAATAAACATTACAAGGGCTCTTTATCTCCTATGAAGAACATATCAGGTGACACAAGATCCGATTATTAAGTTTCAAAAGTGGCGGGCAAAACCAATACGAGTGAGGGCATAGAAAATGGTTCCTGCCTGGAACATGACAAACAAAAATGCTTCAAACTGCAGGAAGTGTGGAGCCAGAATAATGGATCTGGAGAGGCAGTAGAACTGCCACGACATGGCCGGCCAGTTTGAACTAAAGCCCCAAACCGTCACTAGTTGTATACTTAGAATCACCTAATAATAATAATAATATTTATTCCCAACTAGTGGGTAGCATACCGTCGGGCATAACCATAGCATTACAGTCAGAATAAAGGCGTGACTGGTGGGGTTTGTGTTTACTGGGAAAAGGGAAAGTGACGTAAACAGTAAACCTTATTGGAGTAGAGTGTATCACACCTTAGGTGGCATGGGTAGGAATCCAAAATTACAAGGTCTCTTTATGTCCTATGGAGAGCATATCAGATGGCACGAGATCTGAACGTTGAGGTTTAAAGG